AATACCATTATGTGAAAGCCTCAGTTGTACAAAGCCATGAAGTGTGATGAAGAGCAATATCAATGGGACAACCATATGGAAGATTATGATTTGGAACATAAAAGAAGCATATGTTAAAGAGCTTTTAAAATAAGTATAAATGCATTATATTTTTGTGAAACTACAAAATGGATAAATGTAATGATGGTGATATGATCTGGTTATTAATCAAGGTAGAGTTAAAGGTAAATAAATATGTAGCACTAAAGATGAAAGGGAGTTTTTTTGATTGGTGTATGAAACAGTGCATGGATATGAGAAACTGAAAAAGCAGATAATTAGAAAAATCTAATTCATCTGCTAAAAACTATTTTGATCCTATCAAGATAATGTGGATATAATTTTGTCTATAGCATTAGGCCACCAAAGTCAATTAAAGCTAAATTGGGAAGGATCATTTAGTGGCATGAATGTCCAATTATAGCATTTATTTTATTTATTATACAATATAACAACAAATCAAACATACTGTGTATGTGTTCAGAAAATTGTTACTTTTAAAATATTTCTTTTAAAAATATTCTACCATATCAATATATTTATTCAACCTATATTAGAACTATCACTTACTTATGGTAAATAAATCCTTATTTGACTGACCAATCTAATTTAACCTTTCTCAAATCTAGTTCTTCTTTTTCCTCATCAATATAAGATTCTAAAACTGAAGTAAAACTATTGTCATGGCTCCACTTGAACTCTATGATGAACTGGACTGAACGTATTATGGAAATGTCTAACTTTTTTTTAGAAAAAAAGAGCTAAACTCAGACTGATCTTCAGTATATTCAGTATAACTCGTGCCTGAGAAATCATCAAACCTTTAGAGCATATCAGATCAATCCTATTAATTATCTTACAGTAGCATTCAATGAAAGCATACTTGTTTAGATGCAATTTCTACTATGTTCACTGAATTTGCCCTTGTATAATAAAACAGCATTGCATCTTTATTCTTATATCTAGATTTATGATGTAAAACAGGGGTGTCAAAAGTCGATTTCATTGAGGACCACATCAGGTTTGACTTCAATGGACCAAGTTGGGTGTAGCCAGTTTGATGTTAGGAATAATAGGAATAATTGGGGTGCCTGTGGCCAAGCACTCTGCTAGTGAAAATGGGCTTCCAAGCTGTGTTTTTGCATGGGAGAGCCTTCTGCAATCTTCTGCCAGAAAAAACGGAGCTTGGGGGGAGGGGTGCACGCAGCCCTTACAAGCTGCGTTTTTGGCCGCAACAGCCTCCTGCAGACCTCTGCCAGTGAAAACAGAGCCCCACCGAGCTCCATTTCTGCTGGCAGAGGGCTGCAGGAGGCTGTTGTGGCCAAAAATGGAGCTCACGAGGGCTGCATACAACCCTTCTGAGCTCTGTTTTTGCTAGTAGAGGCACTGCGGGCCGGACCTTCAGTGTTTCCAGGATGGCCCTATGGGCCAGATCTAAGCACTCCGCAGGCCGGATCTGGTCCCTGAGCCTTGAGTTTGACACCCCTGTTGTAAAATATTTGTGATATTTTTATTTTGTTTTCAGTTTTGAAATATGTATCTTCCCATTTTTTCCAATGTATATATTGCCCAGTAACTTTTCCTCTTTATATATTACAACCTTTTTATAAATTCTGCATTGCTGTAATCATTGCAGGTCTTTATTTGCTTCTTAAATCAAAGATTAGCCCATCTCTTTTGTTTTTCTGTTTCCTAATCAAATCTGAAAGCCATCTTCTCTTTACAATCTTTGGTAGGCAATAGAATAGGAAAAATTGATGTTAAGTAAGTTAAATAATGTTAAAGCTTCCACTTTTCATGCTAGGAAGCCAAACCAAGGAAGTCAGCATGGTCCCACACTAGGAAGTTAAAGCATAACATGATTTCACATTCAATATGAAACTTAAGTTATAAACATATGTGTATTATTCTCGAAGCTATATAGCAAAGAAGCATTTGTAATGTTTATGTGTGAAAATGTTCCAAACCCTAGAATCCAACATGTATCTGTTTGACATTACTGTACAGGTAAATAAACATGAAAAGACATCAATAAATCTGTGAGTTATCACATAGATACATAAAAAAACTGCTATTTCTGGAGAATAGCTTTAGAACAAGGAAGCTGTGGAACTTAGAAGTCTTATCAGGAAATAGAAGTAACTTCTCTACAGCAAAACTCTTTCTTAATCTGTGGAGAACTCTGTTATTTTTCAAATATACTTTGGAAATGATACGCAGTATAAAAAGTTAGAACAATTGAATCAGTGGAACAACTTGCCTCCAGAAGTTGTGAATGCTCCAATGCTGGAAGTTTTAAAAAAGATGTTGGATAACCATTTGTCTGAAGTGGTGTAGGGTTTCCTGCCTAAGCAAGGGGTTGGACTAAAAGACCTCCTTTCCAACTGTTATTCTATTCTAAGTGATCATACTTTTTTCTGACTTGAGCTATCTGTTTCAAACTGCTTTATACCAAAGCTACTTCTTCTTAAAGAAAAGTAACCATGCTTTGAATGTGTGTACAATATGTAATATGTACATTCCCATTAACATAATCTGATTTTCAGGCATAAATTTTGTGATAGATTTTTTTTGAGCAAGTAGTTGTACAGAACAATAATTGCACTATTTCTACACAAAGTCTTTATCCTAATTTCAAAAGCAAGTTTGAACTCCTTAATTCCACAAAATTTGGTATGTTCAAAAGATTGCCTGATCTATTTCTTGATTAACTCTGATGAATTTGAAACTGCAGTAAATCTGATCTTGGAAATACTGCAGCTCTGCAGAGCTTCCAGCAGGTCAGTTTCACAATTGCAACAACTCCATCTTTCAACTCTTTCAAGGGGACCAGTTGCTTGATGGCTTTTCAGTTCTTTCTCACAGGAACCATTTGAAGGAAGCTGTACATAACCAACTATTATTTATTAATTAAATATATATGCTTATCCATTTACCAAGACTATTTAACACTTGGGAATTCCCAATTGTTTGTTTCCATCTTGGCAATTGTAATAAGCTCTATATCTTGGATAAAATTCAAACTGAGATCTATGACAATGATTCATCTAGCTAATAGAGAATGGGTTAAAAATACCACATACTTATGAACTATTGACAATTGATAGAAAGGAACAATCTGGCTCTAATTTGTTTAGAACGAGGATGATTAATTTTGACTATGAAGTTTTGTAGAACTGGGTCCAAAGTATATTAGCATGCTTTAAGAAAATTAATACTGGTACTCGCTAATTCACCTAGACATTTATCAGACCACTTACAAAGAAGGGCAGTTGTAGTAAGGAGGTAGTTAACAGCTACGCAGGTGGCAGCAGCAACCTCATTCCTTAGCAGTTGAGGTGCTTGCCATTTGAACAGATGCTGTCTTTGTCCTGTTCTACGGTGTTGCACTAACGAATACGAGGGGACCTAAAAGCAACCTAACAAAATGGTAACCGCAGATCTTTGTGTATGCGCGCACACCCGGACCTCGAAAATCTGAAAACGGCTAGAATGCTGAAAGGCTGGTTCCGTTCTCCTTAAACCTTGGGAAAAAGCCATTCCGATGTAAAAGTTGCTTCTTTGAGGACACTGCTTTGAAAAATTCATCATCCTTTCAGAATGTTTAAATGTTATGAATACACTCGTCCCTCCTAGATAGACTGGGAAATTAAGGAGATTCGTTTTGCAGGTAAATTTTAAATGGCGATGTGTTCAGTTATCGCAAGAGTCGTCCGAGCTAACTTTTAAAAAAAGAATTCATGTTAAAAAAACCAGCTCGCCCCCGACTATGCCCCTAGATTCCTCTCCCCACTTGCCATTTTCCGCTCTCTCGTGTACTGCAGCCAGTTTGCTGCCGATACTGCATGCACTACTAGGTGTCCATTCTAATCTGTTGGCAGGAAGGCGTGACACAAAGTTAAAAAAAAAAACACCTCTCAGGCGTTTTGCTCGGTGAAAGTGAATAAAAGCACGAATACGCGCGATGGAGAAATGGCGAAGGACAAGAATTAGGAGAAGGCTAAGGAAGTGGGGAGGGGCATCAAACTCGGACAAGACCCTGTTTAAAACCTCAAAGGGACATTTCTCTCCCCTCTCCCCGCCCGCAATCTACTAAGATTGGGCAGACGCGCCTGGTTTCTCAAACCAAAACGGTGCGCAAGCGCAGGACGCTTCCTTGGGTAAAATGCTTTTGGATGTAGGAAGGGGATCACCCTGTCTTGATATTTCCCCATTTAACTCTTTTTCTCTCTCCTGATCTGGCTCTGTCGCTGTTGGAATCCTATTAATTTAACCTATATGTATAATTATTATTTGGAAGATCGTTTTTTTATTTGATTGCGTTACTGATGGGAGGGTTGAGTTCTTATTGCTTCGTTTTATTCCCTAGAAACCAGCATGCTTGCGTCTCCCTTCTACCACCGTATCCTCCAAATTGCCGCCTCTGATCAAACCAGCCTGTGGATCGAGTCTTTTGCCCATCCTTGTCTTTTGTCTCTCAGCCGTTCCTCTTTTTTGCTGTCTTCGGACAAAGGCATTCGGGGATTGTAGCCCCTGCAAGCTGCAGGCCAGAAAAGCCGAGTGTGTTTGTGTGTAGAACCTATTAGCTATGTAGTGCGAGCAGGGAACACCGCACGTTGAATTAGAAGCGGTGGCAGCGACAGCCTGGAACGTAGTGAGAGTGACTTTGCGCCTCCGAAAGACGCTCTGAGGCCATCTGAAAAGCGGACTTCTCCGGCGGTTGCTGTTGCGTGTGGCGGCGGCTTGGCTGCCTTCGGGGACTGCTGCTCTCTTTTCGGTTAGCTTTCAGTGTCTAGAACCGCTCCTGCTCGCCACCCCCCCCCCCACCGCTTTCCCGCGGTCTCAAAAAAGCAGCCGCCGCCGCCCCCCTCCCGCCCCTCTTTCCCCGGTTTCTTTTCAGAGCTGAGCGACGGGGGCGACAGTGGCCGAAGCAGCGGAGGAGCTTTCCCTCTGCGGGGTTTATGAATGGCCCTGACATGGAGGAAATGCCGTTTCAGAAAGTCAAGAAGAGCAAGAAGACGAGAAAGAAGAAATGTTGTCGCCGCCGCCGCTGCTGCTGCTGTTGCTGCTGCTCCTCCACACCCGGCCCGCCGTTGGCAGCGGCGCCACTGCCAACTCCGTCGGCTGCAGGCAGTAGTAGCAGCACCTCCGGAGCTGCGGCCGTGGTAGTGAGAACTGTCGGAGAGGGTCCCCCGTTGCCCTTCCTAGACGGCGTCGCCTGTGAGGATCAGTTCGACTGCAAGGAACTGGAGTCGCTCTTCCAGAATTACAATCTGAAGCTGGAGCAGACATCCACACTCAAAGCGCTGGCAGTCCTCATCGCACTGACTGCCAGCTTGGCGCTGCTGGAGCTGCTTTCGGGCCCCAGCCTGACTATTTCCAAGGGCTCCCATCCGGTGCACTGTATCATCTTCCTCTCCCTCTTCATCGTCACCAATGTTAAGTACCTGCAAGTCACACAGCTACAGCAGATAGTGAAGCTCACCTTGCTTTTCAGCTTTACCTTCGCCTTCCTCTGCTGCCCTTTCTCGGTGGGCTCCTATGGCATGGAGCCACCCAGCGCCCCCGAGCAGGGTATGTGGCAGCTCATGCTGGTCATCTTTGTCTCCTACTCCCTCTTGCCCGTCCGCACTCTCCTGGCCATCGTCTTCGGTTTGGTAGTGACCGTCTCCCATCTCATAGTCACTGCCACTTCAGTCAGTGTCAAGAGGAAGCCCCTCTGGAAGACGGTGAGTAGGCTTCCTCTAAACAGTTCCTCACCAGGTTCTTCAGTCTTTAAGAGGGGGAAGGGGGGAAATGCTAAAAAAATGTTCACAGTACAGTGTCTTCTTAGGGACTGATAAGAATTAGGGCAAACAAGCTGAAACTGTTTCTCAAAAATTATAACAGTGTACTATTTTTAAAATAAGTTGATTTCTGGTATTCATTTTCAAGATTCTCATGAATGCAAACAGACTTTGCAATCATACTATTCTATTATACAAGTAGCAAATTTATTTTTTAAAAATCGTCTGACAAATTAAATGTTTTGAAAATCTCTAACCAAAAGGCTTGGAATTGCATCATGATTTGCAGTTTATGATGTGAAGTGTATGTTTTTGGATATTGGATCCATGTGAAATTGCTTCTCGTACAGGTTAGAGCATAATATCTGTTGAGGACATCTGGTAGAAGTAAAGAGTATGGTTGATATTGGTATTGGCATGAGCTCCTCTTAAATCACAGATTAATAGTATCACTTCACATGTCTCAGTAAATATATATGCTATTTGTTTTCTGAGAACATAAAGATATGATACAGTGTTGAATTGGTACTCTGAAGCATATCTTTCTCTGAATATATGTGCAACTATTATCATATGCCTAATTGGGGGATATTTTAAACGAGACAAAAGTGAATTTGGATAGGATATGATGGATGAATCATTATTGTTTCTTTTTTTAATTGTGCCTGATTCTCAAAAACAGTATGAGCTGCAATTTTATGGGCAAGATTTTTCAGAAGTGGTTTGCCATTGCCTCCTTCCTAAGGCTGAGAAAGAATGACAGGCTCAAGGTCATCCAGTTTTGTATTTAAGAATTAGAATTAATGGTCTCCAAGATTCTATTCTGATGCCTTAACCACTACACCAAACTGTCTCTATATTTTACATGTTCATAAAATAAGCCAGCCAGCTAGTTATAGAATTTGGGATAACTCTACTTGAAAAAAAATAATTTGATTAATATTAAGCAACCTTTCAGAATGTTTTGAGACTATTGTAAAATACAGGAGAGTATAACCTTGTATTTTGTGATAAACTCTACTTCAATATATCCAGAGATTCATGATCTTCCAGTTTCTAGCCTGATGGCTTACCCCCAAGGGTTACAAGAAAGTTTGAATTAGGCTATCTATGGGCTGACAATGAGGAATTAATAATGAAGGAAATTATTTCTTTCTATGAAAATGTTAGAAGGGCAAACCACTAATTTTATTACTTTTCACACACACAATATATGTGTGTGTGTGTGTGTATAACTGGGTAAAGGGATTTTGTGTGTGTGCATGCATGTATTGTGGATACATGGATGCATATGTACCATCTCTTTCCCCAGTTTTCTATTTTCTTCCCCCTCTTGTTCCTTACCCAATGAGAAAATCCTTCCAAACCACTGATTTTATTACTATTTAAATATCATATATATATATATATGATGTGTGTGTGTGTGTGTGTGTGTGTGTATATATATCTATAT